GAGACACAGGAGAATAGTGAGACACGGGACACGCTGAGGAGACACAGAGACACCGAGACACGGGACACAGGAGACACCGAGACACAGGAGAATAGTGAGACACGGGACACGCTGAGGAGACACAGAGACAACGAGACACGGGACACAGGAGAGAGACACGGGAGAATAGTGAGACACGGGACACGCTGAGGAGACACAGAGACAACGAGACACGGGACACAGGAGAGAGACACAGAGACAACGAGACACGGGACACGCTGAGGAGACACAGAGACAACGAGACACGGGACACAGGAGAGAGACACAGAGACAACGAGACACGGGACACAGGAGAGAGACACAGAGACAACGAGACACGGGACACAGGAGAGAGACACGGGAGAATAGTGAGACACGGGACACACTGAGGAGACACAGAGACAACGAGACACGGGACACGCTGAGGAGACAGAGACAACGAGACACGGGACACGCTGAGGAGACACAGAGACACAGAGACACGGGACACAGGAGACACCGAGACACAGGAGAATAGTGAGACACGGGACACGCTGAGGAGACACAGAGACACCGAGACACGGGACACAGGAGACACCGAGACACAGGAGAATAGTGAGACACGGGACACGCTGAGGAGACACAGAGACAACGAGACACGGGACACAGGAGAGAGACACGGGAGAGAGACGGCGATACACATTGGAGACACAGAGACACGGGACGACGCTGACCCACGCACGGTTTTAGTTTTTTTCCCTTCCTCCGAGAGTCCTGAGTGGAGACCGCATCCAGATCCGTCCCCTTTGGGGGGGAAGGGGGGGTGATACGTTCAATCGGAGCGACCGCCCTAGGCCCCGCGCTTTGGGGATGTGGTGGTGGGTGGTTAGGGGGTGGGGGTGCCCGCTCTTCGACGTCACGGTGCCAGATGTAGTAGCTCCGGTGTAGTTTGAAGGCGTTGGGCAGGGTGGGGGGTTTGCCCTGGGCCCCCGGACCCCCCCCCCCCACCCATTGTGGACTGCCCTGGCCTCGTCGTCGTTGGTGTGTCGATCCCCGCAACTTGGACTCAATCCTCCGGGCTCTGGAGCTGAGTGAAAGAGAAAGTTGCTGGCGCGGAGCATGCCCGCGTGGACCTAACGGAAGCTGTGAGGATGCGGCGAGTGGCATCTCTGTCTCTCTGTCTCTGTCTGTCTGTTTCTGTCTCTCTGTCTCTCTCTTTGTCTCTCTCTGTCTCTGCCTCTCTCTGTCTGTCTCTCTGTCTCTGTCTCTCTGTTTCTGTCTCTATCTGTCTCTGCCTCTCTGTCTCTCTCTTTGTCTTTCTCTGTCTCTGTCTGTCTCTGTCTCTCTGTCTCTGTCTGTCTCTCTCTCTGTCTCTCTCTCTGTCTCTCTCTCTGTCTCTGTCTCTGTCTGTCTCTGTCTGTCTCTGTCTGTCTCTGCCTCTCTCTCTGAATCTCTCTGTCTCTGTCTCTCTGTCTGTCTCTCTCTGTCTCTCTCTGTCTCTCTGTCTCTGTCTCTCTGTCTCTGTCTCTCTCTGTCTTTCTCTGTCTCTCTGTCTCTGTCTCTCTGTCTCTGTCTGTCTCTGCCTCTCTGTCTCTCTCTTTGTCTCTGTCTGTCTCTGCCTCTCTGTCTCTCTTTGTCTCTCTCTGTCTCTGCCTCTCTCTCTCTCTGTCTCTCTCTGTCTCTGTCTCTCTGTCTCTCTCTTTGTCTCTCTCTTTGTCTCTCTCTGTCTCTCTGTCTCTGTCTCTCTGTCTGTCTCTGTCTCTGTTTCTCTCGCGGGGAGATTGTGAAGATTGTTAGGATCATTGCGGATATGATTACGCGTCTCGCTGCGCGTGTCAGAGATACGGGACACACTACCCTGGGGTAGACACTCTTACGCACTTCGTGGAGACAAGAGGGACAGGGACAGGGGAGACGATGCGTGAGACACGGAGACGCAGAGGACAGGGAAGGACAGCGGGAGACGCTGGCAAGACACGGGCAGGGAGACACGGGCAGGGAGACACGGACAGGGAGACACGGAGACACGGAGACACGGAGACACAGACAGAGAGACACGGAGACACGGAGACACGGACAGGGAGACACGGACAGGGAGACACGGAGACACGGACAGGGAGACACGGACAGGGAGACACAGACATGGAGACATGGAGACACGGAAACACGGACAGGGAGACACGGACAGGGAGACACGGACAGGGACACGGCGAGAGATGCTGGCAGGACACGGAGACACAGACACGGAGATACGGAGACACGGACAGGGAGAAACGGACAGGGAGACACAGACATGGAGACATGGAGACACGGAGACACGGAGACACAGACACGGAGACACGGAGACACGGACAGGGAGAAACGGACAGGGAGACACGGACAGGGAGACACGGAGACACGGAGACACAGAGACACGGAGACACGGAGACACGGACAGGGAGACACAGACACGGAGACACGGAGACACGGACAGGGAGACACGGACACGGAGACACGGAGACACGGAGACACGGACAGGGAGACATAGAGACACGGAGACACTGAGACACGGACAGGGAGACACGGACATGGAGACACGGAGACACGAACAGGGAGACACAGAGACACGGAGACACAGACATGGAGACACGGAGACACGGAGACACGGACAGGGAGACACAGACAGGGAGACACAGAGACACGGAGACACGGAGACACAGACACGGAGACACAGAGACACGGAGACACGGAGACGCACCGCCGACGACGAGACACTGTAAACCCGCCCGCGTCATTCCCTGCGAGCAGAGCCGCGTCAAATGTTGACGTTGTCCATAAACACGCGCGGTCGTGTAACCCCCCCCCGCTCCTCCTGCACACCCCCGGGATCCGTTCATCATTCACCCACTTCAAAAGAGACTCGGAGACCCCTGGGGGGGGGGGGGGGCGAGGGGTAGGGGACAGAGGAGGGGGAGGGAGGGGGTCCAATCCCCCAGATGCACGAGTGAGAGTGCAACACTCGGAGGCGCTCTAAGGGGGATTGTGGCCCCCCCTCACCCCCCCTCCCCCCAACCCCTTCCCACCCCAAGACAGTCCACTTGGCCTGGTTCCCTTGATCTGCATTTATAGGCACCCCTAGATCCCCTCGACCCCCTTCAACCCCCCTCCATCTCCGAGATCCCTTCCAACCCCTAGACCCCCACCAACCCCCTCCATCCTCTAGATCCCCTAGATCCCCTAGACCCTTGCGCCCCCCCCCCAGCCTCATCCTGTAATCCATCCTGCAGAGTTGACGTCATCCAGACCGCCCCCCGCGACCCCACGCGACCCCACGCTTCGGGTCAGTCTCGCTACTGCACCCTCTGTGCCACGGCGATCCCTGTCCGAGCATCCCCTCTCTCCCACGTGACTCCCATCACGCTGCCCTGCCGAGTGACCCTGGTCCATTCTGATCCACGATGTACCCCTTTTAACCCCCGTAGGTCTTGCCACGGATCCCCGTGTGCTACCCCTTTCTGTCTGGACCCCTTATTGTGATCCCTATGGGTCACATTTGACCCTTTTACGCCAGCTCTTACGATGGACCGCTATCTGGGCGCCAATGTGGCTAGGAAATGTTAACTACCTCGCCTAGTGTACAGGAGGTCGTGGGTTCGATACCGACCCGGACACCGACCCGGACACTTCCTGTATATTTGGAGTTTGCGTGTCTCTCATCATTATCATCACAGTGGCTAGGAGATGTTGACTACCTCACCTGGTATACAGGAGGTCGTGGGTTCGATCCCGACCCTGACGCCTGCTGCTGTATATTTGGAGTTTGCGTGTCTCTCTCATCATCATCATCATCACGGTGGCTAGGAGATGTTAACTACTTCGCCTGGTCTACAGCAGATCGGGGGTTCGATCCCGACCCTGACGCCTGCTGTATATTTGGAGTTTGCGTGTCTCTCTCTCATCATCATCATCATCACAGTGGCTAGGAGATGTTAACTACCTCGCAAGGTCTACAGCAGGTCGTGGGTTCGATCCCGACCCTGACGCCTGCTGCTGTATATTTGGAGTTTGCGTGTCTCTCTCTCATCATCGTCATCATCACGGTGGCTAGGAGATGTTAACTACCTCGCCTGGTTTACAGGAGGTCGTGGGTTCGATCCCGACCCTGACGCCTGCTGCTGTATATTTGGAGTTTGCGTGTCTTTCTCTCATCATCGTCATCATCACGGTGGCTAGGAGATGTTAACTACCTCGCCTGGTTTACAGGAGGTCGTGGGTTCGATCCCGACCCTGACGCCTGCTGCTGTATATTTGGAGTTTGTGTGTGTCTCTCTCTCCACATTTAGAATCAACATAGGCGCCTTTACAGCATTTGGCTGATCTAAATTTCCATAACATCAGCCAGCTTCGTAGAGCTGTCAGTTGTGATAGCCAGGTCGCTTCTGAAAAACAGCTACGAAACTCAATGGGCCTTACCTGGTGAAGTAAACATTAGTTTAATCGTAAAACATTCGCTTAATAGTAAAACAAAATGCATTTTGGTTCAAGCAACGCGTCCACCGTGACCTTAACCCTGACCCCCGCCCCCCCCCCCAATCCCATCACCGCCACTCTTTGATCCGAGCACCCTTCGATTTGGAGCGTTGGGCCACAGCGCTCAGTAACCGCGTTACAAAACAACAAACAACAACACTTTCCGATTTAAACAACACTTTTCGATTTTTCGATTTAAAGACAGCGCTCCAATGTCTTTCCGACAGTTCTGTTTCTTCACCTGAGGAAGGCTACTTGTGCTGTGGCCGAAACGTCGTGATAATTTTATTTGATTACGTTTTATTTTTTATTATTTTACTATTTCCCTTCTACGTGACTTTACCAAAAGCACCAAGAAAAACCAACAACAACAACACATCAAACAAGAACCACAGCGTAACAGAGCGCGCGTGCGCGTCCCCCCGCGTGTCCTCCTCCACCCCTCCTCCTCCTCCTCGCCACCCCCCCTCCCTTGCCCCTCCTAACAGGCGTTCGGCCCCGCTGGGCCACGTGGCATCTGTCGGGGCAGGAGAGCACCCATACAATGGAGGGTGTCATCATCAGCGGCGGCGGCAGTAGCAGCGGCAGTAGCAGCGGCAACAGCGGCAGCATCATCACCATCAGCGGCGGCGGCGGCGTCGGCGTCGGGCAACGCAAGCGCCTGCGCGCGAGACGACAACTCTCCGAGCGGGGCCAGCGGAGGAAGCGACCGGGCGGAGGAGGTCGCCGGGGCCGCGGCCAAGGTCAGGGCCGGCGGCGGCAGCGGCAGCAGCAGCAGCAGCAGCGAGTGACAACGCCGAGCCCCGAGCGAGCCCACGGCGGGGCGGACCTCAACACGGCGGCGGCCGAGTGCGTGCTGCAGCAGCTCTTCCTCACGGTGCCCGAGCTGGGCCTGGGCTACGACTCGGACGAGGTGGTGCCCTTCTACTACTGCAGCGGCGCGTGCCACGCACGCCCCACCAACTACGACCTCGTGGTGTCTCACCTGGCACGCACGCGGCGCCAGTCGATGGGCGGCGTCGACGCTCGCCGCTGCTGCCGCCCGGTGGAGTTCCACGACCTCGCGTTCTTCGACAAGGGGAACCAGCCGCGCGTCGTCAGGAACTTCCTGGCGTCGGCGTGCGCCTGCGTGGGGTGACACGCGTGCTGGGGGGGGGGGGGGGTGGCGGGGGAGCGGTGTGCACGAGGTGGACGAGGCAGTGGTGGTGTGTGGGGAGCGGTGGTGCAGTGGTTGGCGCTGCGCTGCGGATCCTGGCGACCACGTGGTTTCGATTCCCGCTCGCGGCCGATGCCCGTTTGACGATTATCTGAACCGGTCCTGGGCCTCCCCTAGGTCGACTCGGCCTCAAATGAGTACCTAGGTGCGATGTGTAATCATCGCCGCTGGCGAGGCAAAGGCTGCCCACCCACCCCCTCTGTGTGCTGTGCCGGCCTTTATAGGTGCTCGCTAACAGCACTTGCCCCTACAGTCTGTTAAGGCTATACAGGGGATCTTTGTGTGTGTGTGATGCTGGTGGTGGTGGTGTGGTTGGAGTGCGGCGGGTGAACGGCCCGGACGAGGACTGCAGCTGTTGCAGCGGTAGTAGCGGTGGGTGAGGAGGTGGAGGAGGAGCTGGAGGAGGAGGTGCAAGTGGTGGAGGAAGAGGGAATAATCTGTGAAGAGCCGGGCAGCTATAACACAGCGAGTTGGCACATTGGGGGACTCAGGTTCTGCATCTGCCAGCCATCTCAGTCAACCCGTGACACCACCTGGGTTTCTGTCCCGTGACCTCCTCCTGCACATCACCTGGCACTGCAGTCAACCCGTGGCACCACCTGGGTCTGTCACGTGACCTCCTCCTGCACATCGCCTGGCACTGCAGTCAACCCGTGGCACCTCCTGGGTTTCTGTCCCGTGACCTCCTGCTGCACCTAGCCTGGCGCAGCAGTCAACCCGTGGCACCTCCTGGGTTTCTGTCCCGTGACCTCCTGCTGCACCTAGCCTGGCGCAGCAGTCAACCCGTGGCACCACCTGGGTTTCTGTCCCGTGACCTCCTGTTGCTCCTAGCCTGGCACAGACGCCTCGGTGACGTCACCGCCACTTGGTGACGAATGGCGGCTGTTTGTTGTTGTCGTTCTGTGGAGTGTGACGGCTGAACGGACGAACGAGGACTGAAGTTGTTGCAGCAGTAGTAGCAGCAGCAGTAGCATTAGTAGCTGCTGTTGCTGCTACCCGATATCAGTTCCTCCATTGGCGTTCTGAGATCTCCGGTCCGAGGTGAAATGTCCAAACGTTCCACCTCCACCGTGGAGCTTCTCCTCCCGACATCTTGGTCGGCATCTCCTGCCGCATCATCATCACCATCATCTACATCATGATCATCATCATCTACATCATGATCATCTTCATCATCTACATCATGATCATCATCATCATCTACATCATAATCATCATCTACATCATGATCATCATCATCATCATCTACATCATGATCATCTTCATCATCTCCATCATGATCATCATCATTATCTACATCATGATCATCTTCATCATCTCCATCGTGATCATCTTCCTCATCCCCATCGTGATCATCTTCATCATCTCCATCATGATCATCTTCATCATCTTCATCATTTACATCTACATATTCATCACCGTCATGGTGGTGGTCTTCGTCACCCTGTAAAGCCGCGTCGTATTTAACAATTCCCTCTTATTTATCCGATTACCCAGAGAATCCACGTTGCGTCTTATTGAGACTGACTATCGGAAGTGAACTTGCTTTGGGATGTCTGGCCAGTTACATGAACGAGCGTTTGGCAGCCACCCAAATCTCCCAACTCCACTACCTCCTCGTCATCCTCCATCATTCTCATAATTCTCATCATCCTCATCATCCTCTTCATCCTGTACCTCCTTCAAGCTTGAGTCTCCAGTCTCGCTCAAGATCGCTTTGAGGTCACTCGTCACGAGGGACCCTCCTGGGAGAGGAGCCACGTGGACACTTCTGGGGGGGGGGGTCTCCTCATCTATGGGTCTCTATGTAAGTTGATGCGTCTCTTTGCGAGACTATTGGTCTCCATGTGAGTAGTCTATGGGTCTCTGTGTGAGTAGTCTATGGGTCTCTGTGTGAGCAGTCTATGGGTCTCTATGTGAGTGTCTCTGTGTGAGTAGTCTATGGGTCTCTGTGTGAGTAGTCTACGGGTCTCTGTGTGAGTAGTCTACGGGTCTCTGTGTGAGTAGTCTATGGGTCTCTGTGTGAGTAGTCTATGGGTATCTGTGTGAGTAGTCTATGGGTCTCTGTGTGAGTAGTCTATGGGTCTCTGTGTGAGTAAGTGTCTCTGTGTGAGTAGTCTATGGGTCTCTGTGTGAGTAGTCTATGGGTCTCTGTGTGAGTAGTCTATGGGTATCTGTGTGAGTAGTCTATGGGTCTCTGTGTGAGTAGTCTATGGGTCTCTGTGTGAGTAGTCTATGGGTATCTGTGTGAGTAGTCTATGGGTCTCTGTGTGAGTAGTCTATGGGTCTCTGTGTGAGTAGTCTATGGGTCTCTGTGTGAGTAGTCTATGGGTCTCTGTGTGAGTAGTCTACGGGTCTCTGTGTGAGTAGTCTATGGGTCTCTGTGTGAGTAGTCTACGGGTCTCTGTGTGAGTAGTCTATGGGTCTCTGTGTGAGTAGTCTATGGGTCTCTGTGTGAGTAGTCTATGGGTCTCTGTGGGAGCAGTCTATGGGTCTCTATGTGAGTGTCTCTGTGTGAGTAGTCTATGGGTCTTTATGTGAGTAAGTGTCTCTGTGTGAGTAGTCTATGGGTCTCTGTGTGAGTAGTCTATGGGTCTCTGTGTGAGTAGTCTACGGGTCTCTGTGTGAGTAGTCTATGGGTCTCTGTGTGAGTAGTCTATGGGTCTCTGTGTGAGTAGTCTATGGGTCTCTGTGTGAGTAGTCTATGGGTATCTGTGTGAGTAGTCTATGGGTCTCTGTGTGAGTAGTCTATGGGTCTCTGTATGAGTAGTCTATGGGTCTCTGTGTGAGTAGTCTACGGGTCTCTGTGTGAGTAGTCTACGGGTCTCTGTGTGAGTAGTCTATGGGTCTCTGTGTGAGTAGTCTATGGGTATCTGTGTGAGTAGTCTATGGGTCTCTGTGTGAGTAGTCTATGGGTCTCTGTGTGAGTAGTCTATGGGTCTCTGTGTGAGTAGTCTATGGGTATCTGTGTGAGTAGTCTATGGGTCTCTGTGTGAGTAGTCTATGGGTCTCTGTGTGAGTAAGTGTCTCTGTGTGAGTAGTCTATGGGTCTCTGTGTGAGTAGTCTATGGGTCTCTGTGTGAGTAGTCTACGGGTCTCTGTGTGAGTAGTCTATGGGTCTCTGTGTGAGTAGTCTATGGGTCTCTGTGTGAGAAAGTGCGAAGTGCGATAAGGGGCCACTAGGATCTAACGGCTCGGTTCGACTCCCAGACGTGGCTACCTCCCCCCCCTTACCCCGTCTAATTTGCATAATTAGCGGTGAGTATGAGCACGTGGTTCTCAGTTGTGTTTAGTTTACAAGCTAGGGCGCTCGGCTCCCCATGTAGAGTTGAGTGAGAGCGAGAGAGCGAGAGAGCGCGCGTGTGAGATTGTGTAGCAGTGTGTGCGTGTGTGTGGGGTGCCGTGCCGGCCTTTCATAGTTGCTCGCTGACAGCACTTGCCCCAACAATCTGTTAAGGCTACACGGGGCATGTTTGTCTTTGTGAGTGAGTGACAGTGAGTAAGAGCGTGATATTAAGAGTGAGTTGGGAGTGATAGCGTGTGAATTGGCGAGAGTGTGTGGTGAGTGAATGAGTGAGTGAGTATGTGAGTGAGTGAGAGAGTGTGGTGAGTGAGTATGTGAGTGAGTGTGCGAGTCAGTGAAAGTCGCTGGGTCAAGGTTCGCGCCCCTGTTGCGAGACGGCTGCGGTCGTGACAGTAACTCAATCCCAAAGACTTCCGCTACGGATCAGAGAGGGAAACGGGAGAGAGGGGGGATAGCGAGAGAGGAAGGGAATAGAATAGAGCGTGCAGGAGAGAGCGAGACGGAGTGAGGGAGGGAGGAGAGAGGGGGTGGAGATGCGGGCCAGGGAGATGAGAGGGAGCGGCAGGGAGGAGGAGGAGGAGAGGAGGAGACAGACAGATGGGCAATTGTCGAGCCAGGCCCAGAGTGCGCTGAGACGAACACCGCACGGCTTGGCTTGGTTCGGCTCGACTTGGCTCAGTTCGGCTCGGTTTCGGCTCTGCTCGAGTTCGGCTCAGTTCGGCTCGGTTTCGGCTCAGTTCGGCTCGGTTTCGGCTCAGTTCGGCTCGGTTTCGGCTCGGTTTCGGCTCAGTTCGGCTCGGTTTCGGCTCTGCTCGACTCGTCTCGGCTCGGCCCCTATTCGACTCGGCTAGAGACGTTGGCTCCATTTCTCAAACGTGGTTGTTTGAAAAACGTTGGCTAGGAGATGTTAACTACCTCGGCTGGTATACCGGTGGTCGTGGGTTCGATCCCGACCGTGACGCCTGCTGCTGCTGTATATTTGGAGTTTGCGTGTCTCTCTCCCCGTGGCCCCGTGGATTTTTCTCCGGGTCCTAGTAACGAATTTGTCACGTTTTGTTTACGTAACAACACCTTACTAATTGACTACAATCATTAATTGTCTTATTATATACTGTGTAACACATTTTTTCTTGTTCCTGGGTACTAAGTGTTAATTCCTAATTGCTTATGCCTCAAAAGTACAGAAAATGTCTATTATTCCCCACAAACTTTGATTTTGTGACCAGGGCAGTGATATTTTGAAATGTACCTATTTTCAATGAGAAAACGGGCGAATTTGTGTTTTTTCGTTCACATAAAGTGAGAAAAAAACCAACATGAATAAAAATTAACATGTATTTATACTAAAGTAATACACAAAAATACTCCAAAACATTTAGACACCAAGGCGCACGACCACAGGCAGGAGGAACAACGTCAAGTGGGAGCCACTGGTGGACCCCCTGAAGGTACTGATGCCACCACTGCACTGCAAATTGGGCCTTATGAAACAATTTGTCAGAGCTGTAGATAAGGAGTCGGCAGCCTTCAAGTAACTTCAAGACTTCTTCCCTAAGCTGTCTAAGGCAAAGGTCAAAGCCGGTGTTTTCGTCAGACCACAGATGAAGAAGATCCTAGAGTTAAAT